CATTACATTGGTACATTCATTGATGTGAATCCCATCATTGCATTGGTACATTCAGTGATGTGAATCCCATCATTGCATTGGTACATTCAGTGATGTGAATCCCATCATTGCATTGGTACATTCAGTGATGTGAATCCCATCATTGCATTGGTACGTTCAGTGATGTGAATCCCATCATTGCATTGGTACATTCAGTGATGTGAATCCCATCATTGCATTGGTACATTCAGTGATGTGAATCCCATTGGTACATTCAGTGATGTGAATCCCATGGGAACATGCCTTTTTACTTTCAACAGTTTCGTCCATAATCTACAAATTGAAAAACCGTAGAAACTGTATGTAGAATAAAGATGACAAAATTAAAAGAAACCTTGGATAACAGAACCATCGGATTGGCTAATTGTCAGGTGTGCATTAAGCTTAAGTAACATATATTGCCGGGCTAAATTTCTGCAGCTACCTTACATCGTTATTTTTTTTTATGGCAATCAAATTTATCTTTTATTCTGGTTAACTCACTTTTTGAAGAACCTACCTATTGTATTATAGCACTGTGATCCTGACTGCATGAAACATTTACCAGTGGATTTAAACTAACTGAATTCAATCAAATAAAAACTACCTGCCCATTGCTGATTGCAATAACATCTTGCCACAAGCTACAAGAAGACGACTACACACCTAACTTTTATTCACCAGATGTCCTTACTTCTTTTCTTAAAGTGGCAGCTCTTATTCTTTTCTGAAATACAGTATGAAATTTAAATAAGTAAACTAACATAATTATTTGATGAATGGTAAATGTATACATGTATCTGTTCTATGTGACAAAAAATGTCCATGTAACAGGTGGGTGGCATAAGTATACATGTATCTGTTCTGTGACAAAAAATCAAAAAATGTCTATAATAGGTGGGTGGTATAGGTATACATGTATCTGTTCTATGTGACCCAAAATGTCCATGAAACATATGGGTGGTAATAGTATATATGTATCTGTTCTATGCGACAAACATATCCCAGTAACAGAAGGTGTTATAGATATACACTTAACTGTTCTATGTCACTTTAAAATTTCCAAGTAACAGGTGGGTGGTATAAGTATACATGTATCCGTTCTATTGTACAAAAAATGTCCAAGTAACATGTGGGTGGTATAGGTATACGTGTATGTGTTCTATGTGACAACAATTGCGCTATAACATGTGGATGGTATCAATATACATGTATCTGTTCTATGTGTGAGAAAAAAAATCCATGTAAAAGGTGGGTGGTATTTTCATATATATATATATATCTGTTCTATTGACAAAAAATATCCATGTAACATGTTTGTGGTATAAGTACACATGTGTGTGCTCTACGTGACAAAAAAGTTTGTCTAACAGAAGGGTGGTATGTGATAAAAAGTGTCTGGAACAGGTGCGTGGTAATAGTAGATATGTATCTGGTCTGTGTGACAAAAATATCCTTGTACCAGAAGGGTGGTATAAATATACATTTAACTGTTCTATGTCACCAAAAAATGTCCATGTAACAGGTGGATGGTATTAGTATACATGTATCTGTTCTATTGACAAAAATGTCCATGAAACAGGTTGGTGGCATAAATGTACACGTATCTGTTCTATGTGACAAAAAAGTCTGTATAACAGGTGTGCAGTATAATTATACATGCATCTTTTCTATGACAAAAGATATCTTAATAACAGGAGGTGGTACATGTATAGGTCTACATATATCTATTCTATGTGACAACAAATGTCCATGTAACAGGTTGGTGGTTTCAGTATAAATATATCAGTTCTATATGACAAAATACGTCCATGAAACAGGTCGGTGGTATAAGTATACATGTATCTGTTCTTTGTGACATAATAATGTCAATGTAACAGATGGATGGTTGGTGTTTACATGTATCTGTTTTTGTGACAAAAATGTCCTTGTAACAAGTGGATGGTAAACGTATACATACACTAGTAATTATTTTGGGGCCCTTTATAGCTTGCTGTTCGGTGTGAGCCAATGCTCCGTGTTGTACCTTGACCTATAATGGCTTACTTTTATAAATTGTAACTTGGTTGGAGAGTTGTCTCATTGGCACTCATACCACATCTTCCTATATCTATGTATGTGTTGTATGTGACAAATCTTGTCTATGTAATAAGTGGGTGGTAAATGTATTTGTATCTGAACACATCTTAGAAGGATTTGTTATTCTGAAGCACAAAATGCACTTTAATTTTATATATCTGGTGGATGCCAGGCCTTGAAACTGCACAGGTCACCCTGTACTCAGTGTAGTTTTTGAGCTGAAAACACCCATTTTTTTTGTCCATTAGTTATGTCTTATGATGAACCTTAAATCATTAAACGGATTGTGGCAACATGAATATCGAAGAAACACAACATTGTTTGTGGTTTCAATTATAACTGTTTTGGCATACCTTTTTACTGGTTCTGACATATGTAAGTATTATGTCTGTTTGTTTAGTGGTGTAACGGTGGTTTTGTTAATGTCATCTGCACAGGCATTTGTCTCTAAAAAAAACCTATATACTTTAATGTAACACAAGGTACCTAACTCGTATATTTCAGAAATGCAATGTAGTCGCGAACGGTTGAAATATAAAGGAAGTTCGCGACTAGATGATATTTCTCAAATATACGGGTTAAGTACCTTGTGATATATCAAAGTATATAGGTAAACTTTTTAGAGACAAATGCCTGTGCAGATGACATTAAAAAACCACTGTTACACCACTAAACAAACAGATCTAATACTTAAATATATACGGGATAACAAGTTTTAGTGGGATAGACAACCGGAAAATCGAAATACAACAGAAGTTCGCGACCGGGTGACATTTCTCAAACATACGAGTTTTTTTCAGAGAAAATTGCATGCGGTCATTAAAGAACAGCCATTTTTTTAGAGCATGCGCAAACCGTTATGAGAACTACGTCACCGTTCTATGTATTCTATTTGGAGACGAGTCACATAATATACCCCAGATACTGATCTCATCTGAGCGACATGGTATAGATAGAACCCATCATGTCAAGTGGTTGTCTTCTGTTGGAGCTTATTGTTTTTAGGTTGTTTAAAGTTTTGTGTAGATGGCAAATCTTTGTTTATTTTTAATGTATATATACATATATTAGGAGCCACCATTTATTTTTCGAGAGTTCGGGACAAGAATAATCCCTTACAAGAGTTGTTAGCCCGGCTTTTCTGTATCACACGGCTAAACAAATCATTGTATACACAACTATTTCCTGCATTTTGTTGCAGCTCTTGAAAGGGGAATATTGTATGGTGCATGAAAATTGTTGTATGGTTTTAAATTAAAAGTTTGTTTTTAAAGATGTATCGAAATTTGTAAATCCCTCAAGCACGTTAGCATTGTGAGATATTTTAAATGCTAAAAATCTTCAATGATTTGAAAAGGGGAATAGTGTTTCAATTAATCATTTGTATGTGTTTTTTTTACATTTTTTACAAGGTAAGAGGCTGTATGCAGTTTTATGACTATTGAACAGCGGTATAACTACTGTTGCCTTTATTTACCTAGGCAATAACATCGCTTTTGTCATCAACAAATTAAAACATAACTAAATTTGTATTCTTTTCGAATGGTTTTTGGGATGTATAAATACACAGCCACGTTATTTTCTGTTTAGAGATTGGTTTATCTATATATAACATGATAAATGAGGGACGAAAGATACCAGAGGGAGAGTATATCGTGTCATATGATAAATATTTATTATAAGGTTAAATCCTAACGATCCTACTGCCTGTCGATACTTTTATTTTGGCATTGCACAAGTCAAGTCTTCTTTAACTGTCCATGGCGTTAAATCACTAAGTCCCTGGGATGTCTTTTAATTGAATTTAGTCTCTGGTACATGATTTGTTATTGTTATTTTTTTTTTTTTTTTTTTTTGCTTTTAACTAGCTTTGAGTAACTGCGAGTACTCCAAAATCGTACTTTCGTGTTAATTTGACATGTTGACACAATTTGTAATGCATTTCTGTAATTCAATGTTTACTTATTTTGTGTTATATCTCGTCTCACTATTTTTCATATGTACCACCTTTGATAAGTATTTAGTATGACGATAAATTTTCACTTCTGTACTCGTGCTGTGAACAACAAATTTATTAATTTTGTAAAAAAATGTTTACTCCAGTACTCCTAACAACAAAATTATTATATTTAAATTTACCTGTGTATGTTGTTTTATTTAACGCCATTTTGTTGCAGGTAAGAGTTGTCGTATTGACACTCTTCCTACACCTTTTTTATTACTACCTAAAACGTCTGTTATATAGGCAACTACGTTTTAATATTGAATTGATATTGTGTCATAGATCAAACTTATTCGCTCAGTGTATGTTTACCTTCTTTTTTTTTTTGTTAAAATGTCTTTTTGATCGAGTTAAGCCATTTCAATTGATATTTTATAGTGTGTCTTTTTATGTTGTAATGTTACACTACTGTCTCAGGTTAGGGTGAAGGTTGGCGCCTGTTTAAACGTTTAAACCCACTGCATTTGTATGCACCTGTTCTAAGTCAGGAGCCTGTTGTTCAGTGGTTGTCGTTTGTTTTATATAGATTAGACGGTTGGTTTTCCTGTTTGAATTGTTTTACACTAGTCGTTATGGGGCCCTTTATAGCTTTCTGTTCGGTGTGAGCCAAGGCTCCGTGTTGAAGGCCGTACTTTGACCTATAATTGGTAACGTTTTATACATTGTGACTTGGATGGAGAGTTGTCTCATTGGCACTCATACCATATCTTATTTATATAGCAGGATACCATTAACTTGACGGCAAACCCGGGCTCGCTCCTTTTGGAGTTCATGCAATATTCTCAGTCTTTGTTTGTTACTTTGTATCTTTTAAATTGATCTACCAGATTTGAACATCGGTAATGTAATGTTTTCTTTATTTTACGACTATTAAGAATAAATTGTTAAGAAAAATAAGTCATAATATTCAAAGACTTTTATTTTCCATAACAACTGTATTCCCACCTCGTTCCGAAAACCTTACAGGTACACCCATCAGAATTCTTCTGACCTTCATCTACACATTTACCATTTGTGTCCTCGCATTCTACAAGGGAAAATATATAAATTTTTGATATTAACAATCATAACAATGGCCAAATATTGACGATATTCAATGATATTCTTACGCTGTTGGAATTAAATTACATTTTTTTTCAAGTGTTACATGTATATTTATCAGTTCTTCGTTTTGTCAGTTCAATCTGATGAAGACGAACCATGCGCCTATCGTTCCAAATTATAAGCTTGGTTTCTTATGCGATTTTTTATAATATATTGACAGGGTGTTATACTGGTGGAAACTTTATTTCTCTAACCGCTGAGACTACTATTATACATTACTTAATTGTAAAACAAAAGAAGAATAGTTTTCGATAAAAACAAAACATGAATTTAAAAGATTTTGTTTAAAACACCAACAAGCAATAAGAAAGAATGCATATCGTCAACGGAATTGATATTTTGAAATAAAATGTAAGAATGATCACAATCTGTTAACCCTGTCATGTTCACGATTTTTACAAAAGTATACGTACGTGTTTTCACTATTGATGTTGCCCATTTTGTTTCGTAACCATTGGAATCAACAGAACATTTTTTCGTCGAACATTTATCCAACCACTGTTCATTGGCAGAATAGCAAACTCCTTTTACGTTGCAACCTTTACAACCATTTGCTAGTAAAAATATAAATATTAGAAATGAAAGGCATGATATTTGTTTATAGATTCGACACAATAACGTATGTATGAATATTTAAAGTCCGCATTCTTCCAAGAGTTTCAAAGGTTTTTTATTTGTGAGAGGCAGGACATATTTCCCTTGAATTTAGTTCACATCTAAGTCATTCCTAAATATTCATTAATTTGATTGATCCAATGACACTAAAAAATAAATAGATTTATCTAAAACGTTGAAAAAACTTGAATGTTAATGAATTTGGCTCATTCATAATCAAATGTAACTAGGTAAAGATTTCCGGTAGGCGGTAACGGTAGCCATTACCTAAATTCTCCTGCCCATATCATGATCTTGGATATGTATGATGGCTCGTTTCGAAGCTTAGACATTTTCACATATGTGGTTAAATTTTCTTGGAACGAAGTGAATTTCATTTTTCCGTAATTTAGCACACCTTAAAAAGCTTTATGTGATGCGGCTTCTCGAGGTAAAAAAACTCCCCTTTTTCACAAAATAAGTTCTTTGAAAATTTAGTTCTTTGCATAAATTAAATAACTCTATAGTATTTACACCTTTATTCTATGGTCCTCTGCTCTCCAAATCAGCACAAATGGATAAGCTTAGTCACTTGTTAAACATTGAAACATTTCCAATATTAGTGCACAGAGATTATTCCTTTACGGACTACTTTTATGTTCCTCAATTTGAGGTGCATGAGGGATATTGACCCAACTAGCTTGCATTTGACCCCATTCAAAAAATTAAAACAAATTCCAAAGATATTGGTAGTACCTTTTTGTGCTTAATATTGCACGCATCTAAAGTCTTGTAAATACCAATTTGATTGGGTTTATAACACTTTATGAGATAACAAACAAAACGAGCCATATTGTGAAGGGGAAGCATCTTATTTTTTCTAAAAAAAAATTTCATCGTGTTTTGCTGAATAACTGTCGATCGTAAATCTAAAGCAGAAAAAACTAATCGATAGATAGTCATTTATAGTCATTCTTATAAAATGCGCTTCTCTTTAAATCATGAATACTAGATAATGAATAAAATTCAATTGTGAATAATTACATTACATGTATGTTTCACGAGAATCCGTTAGTTATGATTGGCTAACAACAATCGAACGTCATTCAAAAATTAACCTTCATATCAAAATGAAATGTTACATTCGTGATGACACGTGCTTCCACAAAAAATCTCACAGGTAAATAAAAGAAAAACTTGATAAAACTTTTTTCATCGTCTTATTAGCATGAAAATGTAATTATAAGAAATGAATGCTTCTTTTGGTAATTTTATCAGGGTGTAAAAGTGTTGATTGTGCACACATTTTTAGAATGTGCTTCGGTCAACACTTTAACAACCCAATAACATAACAAAAGGAAGCATTCATTTCTTAAGTATCTGTCACCATATCAGCTAATTGTAAAGGTCGCATGATCAGGTGCAATTCAAATGTCAATTATTTCCCCGTAGAACTTTTATTTTTTAAGGAGAAATTAAATTGGATGTTAATTCGACAATAGAAATGTATTGCTACATATCTAAATAAACCATAACCTTGTATAGTAAATGTGGTAATTATATAAAATATAAATGAAGGCAATAGTATACCGCTGTGCAATAGTCATAATTCGATTAAGCAAAAACAAATCCGGGTAACAAACTAAAACCGAGGGAAACACATCAACTATAAGAGGAAAACAACAGAAACACTGAACTAAACTAAAATTATCTTGCACAACATTATAATTGAAACCAGAAACCGTTATATGCTAAGAAATAGTGAATAATTCAAGAAACGCATCTAACATTTGGTATTTTATCCTGTTCAATTTCAAATTTTAAATTTGTTTTACAATTATTTCGGGTATGTGTTCTCAAACAAAAACATTAAATCGGAGTGATCCCCAAGGGTGACTGGGGAATAGAAGTATGGTCACCATTGGTCTTCCTCCGACCGGCAGTAAAACCCGTGCTAAAGTGGGGCGTCCGTTTGGCTGTGCGGGATGTACAAATTTGCAGCCACGTCCGGTCAGAATGGGGACGTTAAATCCGATGCCTCGTGTAAAGAGAGTGCCACGCTCTTTGCACGTTAAGAACCCTTGTAACAACTCTTTGAGGGGTCCGTAGGTGACCTGTTACAAGGCTAAATTTCTGTCCCTATCCAATATACCCTCATTTCGCGTGGCAGTCTAAATTTCTCCGTCCTTAATCCCTTAATCTATTACAGAACCTACCTATTGTATTTATTGTGAACTTGTTCTCGTCCTGAATATGCATGAAATATTTGCCACTGGACGTTAAGCAACCAACAATCAATCAATCAATTAAATCGGAGTGAACATAATTGACCTTTTAGTATTAATTAGTATGTGCGACAACTGGTTTGTTTATATTTCACATCATGTTACATTATGTAATAATATATAATTACTTATTCCTAACTGAGCAGCCATTACCACTACCATCAAAATCAAGCCACTTAATAATGCATTCATCTACAATATAACAGACATTTCATCAGTTTTATAAAAGGGTCTTTAATAATTAGACATATATGTATCATTGGTAAATTGATAAGTCATGGATTTCGTTACATATACCACAAATAACTTAAAACCTTCGATAAAGTGTTTTATAGTTATAATGATTTGGTTCGGAAGTTTGATTGTCCTGTAGGCAACTTAAAACTTATGAGATATCGCATCCTAATTTTTACTGTGAGCCCGTAAATTTAGATCAGTTCATGTTAGCTTATCGATCCTTTGAATAAACGTATTTTCAAAGGTTATCAATTTATCAATAATTCAAAGCATAACTAAATATGTATTGCTATTAGTTAATAATGTATAAGCTCTACTTCATGTTGATACTTATATTTTGGCATTGGTCATGTTTCCTAGAATGTTTAAAACGTCTTGACATTATATCTATTGGATGTGTATTGATTGATACACACTTTTGGATACGTGGTTTTTTATGAGTTGTTTTTTGCTTGGAACAAGATTTTAATAACTACGAGTACTCGCAGATCGGTATTTTGTGTCTTGAGTGTTTTAGTTAGTTGTTTGTTTTGCTTTAAAATCGATGAGACACCGGCAAAAGCATGGGCTACAAAACACTACATAGATACTAAAGACCGAACAACTTAACATATTAGTTGTTGGTATACTTTACAGAGATCATGCAAAAACACCTTTATTATATAGACACTCCAGACGACCTTTACACATTTTTTTATTACGAGCCTAAATTACCGTATCCGTTATAATGAAATGATGCTTTACGCGTAAGTCAAATTTCCAAACATACCAGCCAACAACAAATATACAAAAGAAAAAACACTAACAGACACACACACACTGAACTTTACATTGCAACTGTTTAATGTATTAGATTTTTAATATTATTCTTTTTCAAAAATGTTATCTTTAAAACTGCACATCAGTATATAGTGTTTTTTGTTTTTGTTTTGAACCAAAAAATGATTTAATACATTCATATATTTGACCTTACTTCATATGTTTCCTTGATTTGTGTGTTTTAATTGACCTCACACCATCAAAAACATACAAGTGACAAACGCAATGTAAAGCAAAATACAACTATGCCCTTTATACTGGCCAATGAATTCGGTATACACGAAACAATTATTACAACGTCAATTCTAAATTATGAGCACAAAATTTATGTAGAAATTGTGTTTTTCAACCTACCTTGTACAATATGAGATCACAACATTGATGTAAATGAATCTATCAAGTTGTATATATACTGCACAAAAAACACAGCTATTGAACATCCTCATTGAAATTCATTAGAAATAAACGATTAACTATAATTCATCATAAAAATCAAATAATTATGCAGAATCATGAGATGTTTGAGTCATTATATATTCCACTCAACAAATATATTTTAAAAAAGAAATACATAGTTAATTTTGAATGCTTTGACGTTGACATAGGTTTCTATTTTTTTTTTTGCTTCTAAAATTAATCAGTACCGCTCATGGTTGTCTGTCAAATCCCTGATGATACTATCCGTAAAGAAGCTTGAACGTATTAAACCAAGAGTTCCAAGTGGTGAAGTTGAAATCAACACTTCGTAAGTTTTACGGACGCCATCACGAGTTGGTTGACCGTTACGGAATATCCGTTTCACAAATGATAGCGGATATGTTCCTAATGTCGTAGCTACAATCTCGTCCCCTTTTCCCGAATGTGACCTACCGAATTAGACTTATTACCCGGTTTGTACTAACATGAGCAACACGATGGGTGCCACATGTGGAGCAGGATCTGCTTACCCTTCCGGAGCACCTGAGATCACCCCCAGTCTTTATTTTCTATGTTGTGTTTTGTGTACTATTGTTTGTCTGTTAGTCTTTTTCTTTTTAGCCATGGCGTTGTCAGTTTATTTTCGACTTATGGGTTTGAATGTCTATCTGGTATCTTTCGCCTCTTTTTTGTATTCCAATAGAACGAATTTTTCGCACTGGAATCGGTATCATACATCTACGTTCTTTTTACCTTGAAGTTTACTTTATTTCTTCGACGACGTTTTTTAATATCAAATAAGATTGTTGACTTCTACCAATCTGCAGCTTTATCGATCCTTTACCGCAGTTGTATATTAGATAATCATGATACATTTTAATTGTTCCTTGTACAAATAACTGTCAAATAAAGTGTAAAACCCATATCATTTGTATTATATTGACTTATCAATTGAAATTTAAATTGTTACTTTTCATTGAGAGAGAATCAATGTTCTTCATCCGGCAGTTAAAATAATTTTGTATAGTCCTTTTAATAGGACCATTTAATAAAGGAACGTCGGGAAATTTGCTCACATTAGATTTAACATTTGCAGTTCAACTTCGTAGAAATCATTTTTAAAACATTGATGTATTCTTTTCTGTAAGTAAAATGTGGACGAATCTTGACATGTCTTTATTTTAGAAACACCAAGGAAAATATAATAGTCCTACTACATCCGCAATAAATGGTGATTCATGGACGAATTTCCAGTTTCGATGCATTGTGACTATGTTATAAACTACGGGTAGAGTGACAACATAGACAGCAAAATTAACATACATGTAAACTGATTTTGATGGTAAGTCAAACGTGCTTTTTTTTACCTTCATCAGGAACGATCAAATCCAGTTTTTTTTTGTCAAGCATGTATAAGAATTTGAATATATATGTAGCAGTATGACCAAACCAGACCTTAAAAGAATAGCCAATTCAATATGAGGTCAACTTAAGGGTTTTTGAAACCATTATTGCCTGTATTTTCGGGATAGTTTTAAATATATCAACGGAGAACTTAAAACAGTTATGTTATAAAGCATGTTGCTTAGGACGCATGGATTTGTTTTTGTATTAATTTCTACATGTTCTATCAGTACTAAAATACTGACAACTGAGCTGTTTTCGCCCTCGAAACTATGCCAAACTTCCAAAATAAATATTTGTATCTATGAAAGAATTTAGTAAAGGTTTAAAGTAATTTGTGGTAACGAAATCCCTGACTTAATAATTTACCAGTAATACATAAATAACGCTCACTGAAATCCAAAACGTCGACACAACATAAATATAGATTCTACCACTGCATCGAGTGTAATACGATATTTATCCACTCGAGACAGTTAAATTTTCAAATTTAAAACGCGAGGCTCGTCGAGCCTTTTAAATATTTAAAATTTAACTGTCGAGAGTGGATAAATATCGTATTACACGAGATTTGGTGGTGGAATCTGTTTCTCTAATGATTTTCAAACAATATGAAGGCAAACTTATTCCTTCTTTTCGAATGATCTGCAAAAAGATGTGTTCTTTCTATGTGACGTCATCAGGCATGGTCGCCTTTTTTCATGCCGTCACAATAGGAAATTCAGAGGAAAGCAAGAAAATTCGACGTCATAATCGGATTTAAACCAATGAAGAACTGAGATCAAACGAACCACACGTTGATTAAATTTTTTTATACAATGGGTGCAGAAAGGGATAAATTGACGAAGAATTAGAGAAACGGGCATAACGAACGAGTGGTGATATATAAACACCGTAAGATGGTGCAAAAGCAACATCAACGTCAAAAAAAAGAAAATTAATAATAAGGAACGAAAAATCGTCCCTTTTGTCGAACATTTTTGTGTAGAGTGTAAAACTGTAATATCTAAATCTAGGAAAGGACAGTTATTACTGTGTATATATGATTTATTTAAATAAGATCCTTTGGGTAAATTTCGGCAGTATATTTAGAAAATGTTTGATTATTAAACGAAAAAAATATATCATCAAGATAACGGTAAGTGTTTTTGAATTTATCAATTTAATGCAATTTAGACAGGTCTTTTCTGAGTTTGGTCATCTTTGATTATTGTTAAATATCTTTGTCACATATGACAATGGAAATGCTCAATTTGTAATAGATATGTTTTCTTTTCATTATTTATATAAAAATGTTGACAACACTTAATGCGACTTATCGCAGAATTTTTTCTTTGTGTGAAATTCACTACGGGTGCCCCAAATTAAAGAGAGACAGCTTAACAATCGAGGACAACTTGGGTTGATGTTGCTCAGTCTTTTATTTAATTTGAAGTGTTCTGTGAATTTTGCTTTTCTTCTTGTGATTTTGCTTTCTGTCTTTGTCTCGCTATTTTGGATTACCCACTTTGTACATTGATATTTTGTTTAAAACTAAACATATAAAGAACATACATATAATATTCAGTATGAAAGAAATAATGAAACACCACAAAAATGGATTATCTGTAAAAGAAAAATCTAAATGCAAATGATAATTTCAGGAAAAATACTGTTTTTCGACAAGAAAACATTATATATATATGGTTTGATTAAATCAAAATTATGCAGCTAATGAAGGGTTTAAAGTTATTTTTTGTGTCAGTGATTTTTATCTTGAACTAGTTATATCTGTCCTTTGAGAACAGTGTAAGCAGTTACTACAGCAAAAAGCGAAGTGATCGAAAAACGTATCACCTCCAAAATGAGTAATAAATAAGTCAACCTTTCACGCCCGATTCAAAATGTGGTACAACACTTAGTTTAAAAGTATTTTCAAAAAACATTCGCGTTAATAACCGCTTCTAAAATATTGGTTAGCAAAATTAAAAGACACCAATAAAAGAATGCATCATTATTTTACTTGATTATGGATACAAATTTGATATTAGATTACATTTGACTACTTGAATTATTCAAAACTGATTGATTGTAGTCAACATTTAAGATTTTAATCAAGTTGTAAAATAGGCAATGACACACATATGTGTTGTTGTCACGACAACTTTTTAAATCAGAAAAGATACTGAATTTCATTCATGAACTAGATACTAATTTTGGAAATTCCAGTCATTGGTATGGTTATTTAAATATTAGGTATTAACAAATATCAGACGCTTGAATAAAACAATAAACCAATATAACTAAATTTGGTGTATTTACTGTCTTCTGATTGGTTAAAAGTATTACCTTTATTTTCAATGTTCTAAATTTTTATGGCGACACGCCCACTCTGACGTTGTGTATTCATACGCCAACATGTGTGTACGCGGTTATTGTTAATATGAATAATATAAAAAGCTCTTTGAACCTTATTTTTGATAGAAATTTATTTATAATGAATAGCTATTATTTATTTTGAATTTATTGAACCCAAGGATTTGTATTATACAAATCCTTGTTGAACCATAAAATTATTTTTTGACTCTTCACATTGAATAATCCGCGAAGTTCATAAATTCAAAATAAATAATAGCCATTCATTAAGTAATTTAAGGAGAACGCTAAAAACCAGTAAACGAATCCATTTGCATCGGGAGGACAACCCTATTCTAAAAAATATTTTGCAGTTTAGACTTTTCTCAAGATATAATATTACGATAAAATCATGCTAAAACTTTAAATTTGATTTGATTGTGTTTGTTTTCAATTTCTTTAAAGGCAGGGTACACAAGTATACATTAAAAAGATATTTTAGCTGAATCCTATGTTATAGCATTAAATATGAAAATAAACAATATACCTATATTTGTAAAGAATTTCGAAAAGAAAAAAAAAGAGAAAGACAAAAGTGTTTTCCGTGATTTTCTACTCAGAACCAGGCTAAAGGTAATTAAAGCGCATAGTTATTTCAGCTTACTTTGCGACACATCTTAATTTATTTCAATCGTGATTACAAAAACATACACGGAACCAATTTTGATGTACCAGATGCGCATTTCGACAAATAATGTCTCTTCGGTGATGCTCGGGGCTAAAACAGCTTGGAAAATTCAAAAATCTAATACAAAAGCGTGGATCAAACGGAATAGGACCTAAATTAGGCAAATATCAGACAAGGAATCAGAACTTTGCATGAGGGAGATATATTCCTTAGTTTGAAATAATACAACTGTGTGTTTTCGTTACCTTTTAATGAAATACTATCTATGAGTAATTTTGCGGTTCATTTTTTGGATTACACAAAGTGTGCGAAAGCTTAATGGTATGGCATTGACATAAAATGATTATATATAGTTTTATTGTTAATCAATTAAAATTATCCTATATATTTGATTTCGTTGATAAGTGATGAAACTGTTACACCAATGTTCTTTTATTAAAACTGATTCACTTGTCGTCCATTATGATAATTAAAGCAACACATAACATGACATTAATTCCTCGATCGAAGGTAAGAAATAGTGCGCGCATGCACAGATGCATTTTGAATCATTTGAAAT